TCCTTCTTCTTCAGGTTAAGGCTCACCTTCGTGCACGATGGTGGCACCTATGATCGGCACAGCACCAAAGCAAAACACGAAGCCAGCCACTGGCCGCACACCACCACCACACTCCGAAACAGGCGAGCACGCTACGCCGCCGACACCGTGGCTGCCGAAGAGGGACCCCATACCCACGATGCTCATGCACCAGCTCCCTCCGCGGCGGCGCGGAGGGCTCCTTGTCCGAGGCTAGCTCCGAACACGATCTGGTCGCTCTCTCCCTGCGGGAAGAGCGGCCAGAGCCATCACCTAAATGTATTTCTTCCACCGTGATCCAGGTGCATTCACGCTGGAAACTTCAAACGCTGTTAGTGGGAATATGGGCTTATTCCTTAAACAATTCTGAAATCTGTTGGAAGGCGTATTTTTAAGATTCTCTAAGCAGGAATGAACGCAGTTGAGTGTGTTAAAGGGATACTGAACTTAAATTTGGATTTCGCAAAATGAGGCCACAGAAGCGTTGAATGGGACGCTGAGAACTCCAAAACATCACTCATATATCGATATGTCGAACGGATGGCCGTATTTTTAGAAAAGAATGCCGCGATCAAGCAAGGACTCTGACGTCACGATCCTCCTGGAAAAGTTGAGAATGAGGGAAATCGGCCATTGCTTCCCTTTTCCTCCCTTCGGTTCATCAGCTCGACGGGACGAAGCGAGGAGGAGAGGGAATGAGAATCGTGACGTCACATGTCTTCTCGGCCGTGTCGGCCGTGTTCAGTCCCACATATTTTTTTCAAGAAATACGGCCATCTGTTGGAGATATCGCTGTATGAGTGGTGTTTTTGGGTTCTGCAGCGTCCCGCCTATCGCTCCAGTCCTGTTTTATGAGCTCAACATTTTTGTATCCCTTTAACGAGAAAAGAGAGGCGGTATTGGTGGGGACTCCTCAAAGGGCCCTTTTGGTGAGCGTGAGTGGACGTTGTTTTAATCCAGACGCATCCACGCTAGAAACTTCAAACGGTGTTAGTAGGAACATGGGTTTGCCCTTAGAACAACGCCGAAATATATTAAAAGCCGTTTTAGAGCGCAGCTCTTAGGTGCCCGCTTCCGCATTTCGCGGCGTCACCATCAACGTCGGCGTAACCACCCCGCTAAATTTAGCGGGAAATTTATTTATTTATTCATACTGAAGTGTTGTTGTGAAGTGTTCATATTGAAGTAGTGTTGAGGTCCGGTGCAATTGTCCCGCTGAATCTAGCGGAGAAACTGAATTCCTTTATGGATGACGTGACGCGAAGCCATGTGACGTCATTTTCCCCGCTAAATTTACCGGGGAAACTATATTTGCGTTGAGGTCACGTGACGTCAATTTCCCCGCTATATTTAGCGGGAAAGAACTTAATCCGCTAAAATTAGCGGGGAAATTTTGCCGCTAAATTTAGAAGGAAAATTTCCCCGCTAAATTTAGCAGAAGGAGGAGAGAAGAAGGTGGAGGGGAGGAGGAGGGAAGACAAGGAGGAGAGAATGAGGAGGGTAGAGGAGGAGGAGAGGGGGGAAGAGGATGAGGAGGAGAGGGGGAGGGTAAGATTAAGGAGGGACATGTCCTCCCTTCCGTAACCCCCCCCCCCTCCTCCTCAAGAGCTGCGCTCTAGTTTCGCATTAGAGATTTGTAAACGACTCATGGTGTAATACTCCAAAACAACATGGACGAAAGCGAAGGAGAACTGGACAGGACACGGTGTAACTTTCAACTAAATGGTTTATTTCGATAACACAAATTAAGAAAAGAAGTCTCGTTTTTTTTTAAAGATTCTTTGAGCAGGAATGAACTCAACTGCGTGTGTTAACGAGAGCAGAGAGACGCTATCGGTGGGAACTCCTCAAAGAGGGATTCCGGTGGGCGTGAGTGGACTGTGTTTCAATCCAGACGCATCCACGCTAAAAACTTTAAACGCTGTTAGTACGAATGTGGGTTGGCTCTTAGAAGAACGCTGAAATTTATTGGAAGCCATATTTTTTCAGATTCTGCAAGCAGGAACGAACACTGCGTGTATTAAGCACTTTCGACGCTACGAACGCAGAAAACGTATACGAGTTTAATGCCATTTTTACCCGTAAAGCTTTCCACGGTGTTATCGCTGCCTACCTCAAGGTCATAGATAACATTGTGGAAGGAGAGAGCAAAGGAGGGAACTTCTTTCTCAGTTCATAGACATTGGCTGCTCAAGGACATCTAGGTGTTGCTAGTTAGAACTGTGATAATCCATTTGTGATTGATTTTGTACTGTTATTGTCTAGCAGTTTATAGAGATATTATATAAATGGCCCGTAGAGTGTGCAAGGATAATGAGGCGACGCAGGCTGATAAATGAGACGTCGTTCTTCAGGGACACCATACAAAGTGAAACATACGTAAATGTTTATTATATTAGTGTCAAAAAATACCAATTAGTGTTTGAAACGAAGAGAAAAACAAAACAAAACAAAACGGAGCACCAAAACTGTGATGTGAAAAAAAAAAAAAAACTTTAAAGTCTAAGAAAAATACGATCCTAGCGTTGTCTTCTTCGACTTAAGCGTTTCTTAACTTTCCGCGCCACAGTAGGTGGTGATACGTTGTTATTACCAGCTTGCCTGTATAGGGAGTATTCATTGGACGCCATATTTGTGGGTGCTGTTTAGAGCGCATGCTCAGAACGAGCTCACATCAATAGGCTGCTAAGACCGGCACTCTTGATGGTGCGGAATGCACGTGGCAAAAGAACTGTGGAAGCTCGCCATCAGCACGCGCTCAGCATTCGCGCACACAGCTATGGCCGCCAGTGAATACTCCCTATACACTCGCTGTTATTTGAAAATGTAACTCTTCCTAAAAAAAAAAAAAATACGTCGCACCAAGCAATTAGGTATTTCTTCAGTACAAAAATAAGGATAAGAAAACCAATGAGAGGAACTTTCATATTTTGGAACTTGTCGGTGTGGAAAAAGACATCTTCAGTACATGGTTGCTGGTCCAGGTGAGCGTCCTTTTTTTCTCTTATCTCTCTCTCTCTCTTTCTCCCTTCATGTATCCTCCTGCGTTCAGCTGGCATCTTCCAGAAGCATGTATCACCAACTAGCTCAGCTACAAGCAGTCACTATTGCCCATACTCCAACGAGTTCCGCAGCCCTGTAGACGCTGGGCAGAGACGGCAGCCTGCCAAAGGCGATAGCTAAAACGGCATATAAGCCTCCTGCGTCGCCCAGGGGCGCTGCGAAAAGGGACTGGTTAGAATTTGCTTTTTGGTACTACCATGGCCTCCTTTACACTGACAAAGCCTGGCAGATCGCCACGAAAAGCGGCCGCCGAAAGGAAAAAGGTGGAGCGGCGCCAACGGATGAGAGGAGAGCCACGTGACTGGCGCCCCGTTGCGGCGAGACACCGAAACACAATTCCCCGAGCGAACAAGTGTGTTTCGGGTCCTCGCAGCTGCAAAAGCTGTGCGCTGATGTCCAGGTTCGTCGAGAAATGGCTCTTTGATGCTGTGCACTACCAAATCCACGCGCTCCAAGCTTTGTGAGTATATAGGAGGCTATGGTACAACAAACTTGACAGTTTAGAGCGTCACAAGTAGAAGCATGCCTGCTCGGGTGCGGAACGCGAGATAACGAGGAAAGTAGAAAGAAACAACAAAAAATTCGAACGCCGTGCAAGCACCCTGCAAACCTAAGAGCGTAAGCCGAGAAACGCCGTTTCACGTCTTCTATAAAACAAACAACCAAAACACGTTGGAATGTTAGATAGTTTGATGTCGTCACCCAGAAAGTGCCATATTCACACGTACCCTATACACTCTAAGAAATTCCTGTGTGTCTACTTACCCGCAAAACACTCAAAGAGCCAATCTCTGCGATTTAGGAAATCAGCTCAGCGAACGATGAGGCGGAACATCCGTTTAGACCTAAAAACGAAGTCTGCGCTGTGGCGTTACACAATGCGAGCACGACGCTTTGCATTGCGCAGTGCAACAGTGCAGACATAATTTTTAGGTCTAAACGGATGTTCCGCCTCATCATTCGCTCAGCTGATTTCCTAAATTGCAGAGATTGGCTGTTTGAGTGTTTTACGGGTAAGTAGACGCGCAGGCATTTCTTAGAGTGTAGCGGTGGTGGCATGAATGTGAAACTTTCGGTTGGCTTGCGGCGTTGAATCCAGCCGATCTATGATGTCGAAAGGTGCTTTCTCGTTTATGAGCACCACACAGAAAGAAAAAAAGCTCAGAGAAGGCGCCATAAGTATTGCGAAGCTCAATCACGTGAGCTTGCACTACCCAAAATGAGGGCGCCACTGTCTGTCCAAAGCTTCAGCGAAGGAGGCGCACAGTCAAGCGAATTCAGTATTGAGTTTAGCCAACGTGTCAGAGTTTTAATATTCTAGGGATCTTGCTTCCCTCACGCGATCGCTGTGCCCTACACACACATGTAGACAAAGTAAATAAAGATGTCTCCACTATGTCGCGAAGAAAGCCAACGTCCTTCATTGTTTGCCGCTGTTATGCAAATGTGCCGTATGATTCAATGTTTGGCACGTGTTGCCAATGCTCCCATTCTGCCTTTTAGGCAGTATCACCGAGGTCAACACAAGCGCCAAAAGACTCTGGAAATAGAGAGCAACGTGAAAACGTGAACAGGAAACCCCGCGCGACAGACGTCTGAAGTCCGAAAACACTCGTCGAAATAAAGACTATTCCTGGACACGACCCGATAACGAGCTGTCTTATCTCGCCTCAAAACGTGGAGTCTCCTTCCACTTATCAAAGCCTCTCGACCCACGAGAGCTGCACGCCGGAGACACACAAAAAAAACTAGATTGAAACAAAAGCGTCCAAATGGAGTTGCCAGAAAGAACCCAATATCGGCGGCCCCCTCCACCGCTTCTTCGATACGGGCCACCCGCCATCTTAGTCGGGACACTTCGCTGATTGGTCCATGCGCTTCCGTGGGCGGAGCTTGGCATTTGAGTCCCCCTGCTCGGGACTGTGCTATAAGGCGGAAGGTTCGTTTGAGGGGCTCAAAGTTTAGACTTGCGTTCGCCGGACATCGACGGCACTTCTCGCTGTTCCTGTGGATTACCTGGCGCAACAGCCGTAAGTCTGCGAGCTTTTGTTTCATTTTGTTCATCAGGCAAATTTGGTTAGCGGTTCCGCGAGATTTTGTTTACCGTATATTTGATGACTACGTTCCATATCAGGGAGAAAAGAGAGCTTTAGGGAACTGTTTTTGCGCATCCGATAAGGTACGGTAAGCCCTAGCTCCAATATGAGCTGCGCGGCATTTTCGAGTCTTCTCTGTTAGCGCATGCGCAGTTTGTACCCTATAGGGCCTATCGTTCCGTATCGGATGTGCAAAGGCGGTTCCCTAAAACTCTATTGTGTTTACCGTATTTTCCTGACTACAGTCCGCATCAGTGAGATTTTGTTCACCCTATTTTCCTGACCACAGTACATATTAGCGAGATTTTCTTTACATTATTTTCCCGACTACTAGTCCACATCTGCGAGATTTTGTTTACCGTACTTTCCTGACTACACACTTCACTCTTACAAATGCCTGCGCGTCTACTTACCTACAGAAACACTCAAAGAGCCAATCATTGCCATCTATGAAATCAGTTAGCGAATGATGAGGCGGAACATCTGTTTAGGCCTCAAAATTAAGTCTGCTCTGTAGCATTACGCAATTCAAGCATGACGCTTGTTGCGTAATGTCACAGCGCAGACTTCATTTTTAGGTCGAAACGGATGTTCCGCCTCATCATTCGCTGAGCTGATGTCGTAGATCGCAGAGATTGGCTCTTTGAGTGTTTTGGGGGTAAGTAGGCGCGTAAGCATTTCTTAAAGTGTCTAAAAAAACAAAAACAAACAAACAAACCGTGCATCTACTTCCCGCACAACACTCGGAGAGCCAATCATTGCAACTTACGGAGGCAGCTCAGCGAATGACGATGCCGAAACATATGTTTAGACCAAAAAACGCAGTCTGAGTTGTGACATTAAGCAATGTAGAACGTCACACTTGTATTGCTTAATGTCACAACTCAGACTGCGTTTTTCGGTCTAAACATATGTTTCGGCATCGTCATTTGTTGAGCTGTCTTTATAAGTTGCGGTGATTGGCTCTCCGAGTGTTGTGCAAGTAAGTAGACGCACCGGCTTTTTTTTAGAGTGCAGTCTTACTCAGGCAAGCTTTGTTTAACAAATGTTTTATTTTGGGCTGAAAAAAAAAATCTTAGTCTTCATATCTGGTGCATATTCTGTATTTAAAGACGTTCTACTCAGCATACCCTGAAAAATCCACGATTTATTAGCGCTCAAAGATTGTATCGGACCGAAATAAACGCTAACGTAGTCTGTCATTCACAAAATCAACCCTGACTAATCGACCGTGACAAAAAAAAAAAAAAAAAAAAAATCCTTGTGTTTTGGGCTTCCGCAGATAGCCCAAAACAAGTAAATTTTAAACTTCGAAACATGCCTAAAACACGGATTCAGAAAGTAGAATACTCAAATGTCGTTCACACACACACAAAAAAAAGAAGAAAAAGGTTCGTAAGTTTACATTCTCGCAGTAGACGGGTACATCCAATCATGACGAACGATAAAAGGATCCCAACAAATGACGGAGCTCAGAATACGATAAGGAATGTAAAATGCCATGTGCACAGGTACATTAAGCGAGTGAAACGTTTCACTTGCTCAATGTTCATTAGCACATCACATCTTTCAGATATAATCTTTCTGAGCTTTGACATTTGCCGGGATTTTTCTGTGGCTTGCCGTGACTGCCTGGGTTTCATTGTTCCGCGGGAAAGTGAACTCTAGCAGATCTTTTTTCCTAGAGTGCTTACGACTGCTGTGCTTACTTTAGGGCTGGGCGTCGATTAAAAATTTTAACCCGAATAATCGCCACCTTCTAATCGATTAATTATTCGATTAATTGTATCAGTTCATCTCCATGCATAATGTTGACGAAAAAAGTCAAAATTAATGAATATTTCTTGGCCTTCGCTGAATATGCCTTTGCTGAAAATGGGATTTTAAATCAAGCTTTATCTGTAGTTGAGAGAACACACACACACACACAAAAAAAAACAAAAAAAAACAAAGTATTACTTTAGCCGCAGAGTCAGAGACGTTTGTTGATATTTTCCAGCAAGGGCGAACTCCTTTGATCGTCCACAATAAAGAGTATTCACTGGGCGCCATATTTGTGGGCGCTGTCTAGAGCGCATGCTCAGATCGAGCCGCCATTAATAGGCTGCGAAGACCGGCAATCTTGATGGTGCGGAATGCACGTTGCAAAAGAACCTAAGAAGTTAGCCATCAGCACGCGCTCAGCAGTCGCGCACACAGCTATGGCCGCCAGTGAATACTTCTATAGTCTGTATTGAGCTAAACGGACAACCCCCACTGAGTCCAAGTGGCTGGGGCACGTATAATCCTCTCCACTTGTTTGGAATTACAAACCTCCCCCCCCCCCCCCCCACCCCCCTACAGTTTACTTTAGGTCCAACTTTTACTTAAAGTTTGCCTTCATAGTCATACGAGTGTACTCGTTCACGCCTGCGTAATGAAAGCGTTGAATATTTTACTTTTTGTTTGTTTGAGAACATTTAACGGATTAACCGGTTTAAATAATATATCGCGATTAAGCAATAATTGATTAAACCGGTAGGTTAATCGATCAAGTGTTCATACGCTAATTCGTTCCAGATATTGTTTATGTTTTACACCGCAACAATGCCAGGAGAGCAAATAATGCCGAGCGGAAGTTCGTCTGCTTCTTGCATAGGGGTTGCCATGACGACACAACGCCGAGCTTTCATTGGCGGATGGAAAACAAAAAGAGTCGGTAGACCTCAAGGCATCTAGCATCGAGGTCTACCCACGATCCTTCCAATCAAAGCCAATCAGAAGTCAGCGTCGTTCTGACGTCATCGCAACCCTTGTGCAAGGAGCAGACGACTTGCTCTCCGAAGAGATGCTTTTTCCAAAGTGTGCGCCGCCTGAAAGCCGCTGGACCAATTAACCGAGTCCGCCATCGCTCGGGCACGCACTCTGACCGTGTATGAATTAAACACGAGTGCTGCGTTCAGCGCTCAGCGAGGACTCGGATCCAACACACGTTTTGTGCCCATGGATGGATGGATGGATGGACGATATTGGCTATGCCCTTTGTAACGGGCGGTAACTTGCGCCACCTAGCTCGAGAAAATGCTTTCCTCCCCACTTAAATACCCAATTTCCTTCCCTCAAACTCTCTGTCCGAGAAATGGCGACCGTTAAGATTGCTCGATGGACATTTGAAAAGAGTCTCTTACAATCTGCTATAGGCGCCGGCGGCTCAAAATCACGCTACGTGATTGGTCGTTGGACGTTCTTATTTGCCAATGCTGCAACCTCATTGGCTGAGGAGCGGTAATGAGATAAAAGGGTCTAGCCACGCCTAGATTTCCTAAAGTTGTCGGTGTCTATGCGGGTGTGCCCACAACAGTGGTTCTTATCAAAGAACGCTGCGTCATTCGTAGCCTTCACACGTATCTCTATCTTAATTGGAGCGCAAGTTCGTCTGCTTCTTCTGCAGTTGTGGTGACGTCAGAGCTCTGAGCTCTGATTGGTTCTGAATGAAGAATAGTGGGTAGAATCGGAGCTCAGCGTCTTTATTGACGTCCCCGAAACTCCTGCGTAAGAAACAGGATCTCCGCATATGCCAGCTCTCGTTGCAGTGTTGAAGCCAGGAAGGACACCGCACTCTTTGTTTTGAAGCATCATTCGCTCACCCCTACAATCTTTGGAGGAAATTCGGCAACCGAAATGACCGAAAAAGTAAAAAAAAAAAGGAAGTTTTCATCCTAAAAGATAAAGTTTGCAAAGGACACCGGGCGTAACGTTTCGCACACGCTTCCGCTGTGCTCAGTTTCACATCCCAACATTTGTTTTTAAGATAGTCTTTCGTTTTTCTTTTTTTTTTTCGGATTTTTATCTAGCGAGCTCTGTTGGTAGATCACATGGATTGTTTCTTCGTCAGTTTTTGGGAGGTCACTCTCAGAAATAGGGAGTGCAGCATTTACGCCCCTTCGTCCCATAAATAACACCCGCAAAACTACAATTCGACGTTGAGTGCATTGACGTCGAACCGACGTTACCGACTTTCACGAGCAGTTTGACAGTCGAGTGATACAACTTATCAAAATAACTCACGTGCGCATTAAAGACTAGAGGAAAGCACTCGAGGTTTTGTTGGCTCTGCGGCGAAACCATAGTGTATATTTTTTTTTAAATTTATTTTTTAATACGTACATTACCCAGTATGTAGTAAGTTGTATCACAGTGCTATCAAGCCGCTCGTAAAAAGTTGCTATCGTCAGATTTACGTCAGTAAACTGAACGTTATAATTTCGTTTTGGGGTTTTATATATCTTTCTTTCTTTATTCTTTCTTTTCCCTATTGACCGGGAGGCGGGCCGAGACTAAAGGCGTGATGCCTGACGAAGTCTCTGCCGCCATTACAGTTCTAACAAAGCAGCGTAGGGTATATACATTTTTACACACGAAAATAAAAAGAAAATATACTATGAAGTTATATGCAACTCAGAAATAAAAAACAAAACAAAAATACAACAAAAAAAACAGGATTAATAAATTATTACACGCTGGTTTTTAACATAGAATGATGGAATCAAATTAGTCAGAAACTTTCTATAACACATCAAAAGAGAAACAATAAATACGGACATGATTTACTATATCTTATATACACACATATCAGAACACAACGTATTTTTTTAACACAATGTCTTTGTTTGATTTGGAATATATCGCAATTAAAATCTATTAGACCTTGTGTATTGTTCAGAATTTTGGCTACTTGGAAGCTTGCCGTTTGTCTTCCATAATTGGTACCTATTTCTGGAGTTCGTCGGGATTCTATATCTAAGTGTGTGATTGGTTGTGTTTTCTGGCAGAATCTCGAAAAAGATTTTTTTTTGTGCATTAGCTGTAACAATCTAAAATAATAAATTTGATTTAGGACAAGGGTGTAAGCAATACACTCCCCTATTTCTGAGAGTGCTGTCGCTGACAACCTA